AACTGACCGTTAAAAACATCACCACCTAATTCTGCTTAAGTTAAATAGGTACCCACCTACCTGAGGATGGGCATCTAAATAATCAAAAAAGCCTATACAGCTATTGTCTTACAAGGAGTATTATAGTTTAAGCCAACCTTTTTGGACGGACGTTCTTTTTTTCTCCCTTTTTCTCCCAGCTCCGATCGGAGCGAATTTCGTACAATTTAGAACAAAAGGGGCTCGCGGCTCACAATTTGTGTTTAGGGCGTGACGTTTCAATTTTGATCTTATGCGTTTCGAAATAGGGCCTAAAGCGTGTTAATCGTTCAATAGAATCGCGGCATCGCTCCAAGCGGCCGTTCCGAGAAAACATAAAAATGTTCATTCCATTGAAATTTTTGCGAACAACTCGGAACGTATTATAGTACTGTTAATAATAACAGCGTTATTCGATCGACTGAACCGCCATTGTTGTTATATCTGCAAATTTGAATTGTTATTCATAGTACATTGTAGAAGTCTGCTAGGCGGCCTCGTTGAACGTCGCCGCCTGTTTAAACTTCACGGAAACGGCGACATATTAACTCTTATTTTTAAATAGCAGTCGATAACGATAACGAGGGACGCTACGATTACTTAAAACGCTATAAAAGTAAAGTAACAGCCTATACACGTCCCACTGCTGGGCAAAGGCCTCCTCTATAAAGAGGGTATCAGGGCATAGTCCACCACGCGGCCCCACTGCGGATTGGCGGACTTCACATATTTTCGAAATATATATTTTTTTTGTTATTTCGAAAATATGCAGGTTTCCTCACGATGTTTTCCTTCACCGCGGAGCACGTGATAAGTCAGCACTTAAAGTTAAAAACTTCATTGGTGCCGGCACCGGGGATCGAACTCAGGTTGCTCGAGTATATTGAATTAAAGGCGAGCGCCCGGACACTGAGCTATCACGGCTCTAATACGCTCTAAAACGCTATAGCCCGTGCTTAATTCTCATCATAATTTACTGTTTTTTTAATTTTCGTTTCATTCTGCTTTTGGACACGTGAACGAAAATCTAACATCACTATAAACTACTACGAGTGTATATATTTAAATGAGTAGTTATGTTAATATAATTAAAACATAAGCAGCAGTTATGTTTTAATTATTAAATGCCTAGTACGAAACGTGTGTACATTTTTGTGTGCCCTTAATTTTTATTATTTATTATTCATTGAAGAACACTAAAGCAGTATTTAGATCTTTCAATAAAGTAGCCTACGTCTTTATTTTGTGCATGTGTCGAACTGGTATGCAATAAAAATATTAACGTTAAAAAAATATTTTTCAAACAAACCACGGTCGGTAACGTTAGTAAAATTTACTAAGAGAGGCTTTTGACAAAAACGTGGGTTGAAAATTACCATTCCTTAAAAAGTGGAGGAGACGATAAGGCCTTCGTATAATAAGGAAACATAATGCTATTGTACGTATAAGTGTCCTTTAATTCAATTCACTCGAGCAACCAGAGTTCGATCCTCGGATCCCGGCTTAGCGGTGAAGGAAAACATCGTTTCCTCACGATGTTTTCCTTCACCGCTAATTATCTTCGTTATTCGTATTTCTTTACCCTGCATATTTTCGAAACGATAACAAAAAAATCGTAAATATATGAAGTCCGCCAATCTGCAATGAGGTTGCGTGGTGACTATACCCTGATACCCTCTTTACAGAGATGGCCTTACTTGACTTTTTTACTTTTACGAATAAGTTGGTTGTCCAGGGAAGTACGACGGCCTCGCAGAAAACCGGCGTGAAGTGTAAGAGATTTCTGTTGTTTTTATGGTCTGGCGAGTGTGGTAACGTATCGCAACCAGTCAGGTGTTGTAGGCGGCCGTGGGAGTAATCTTTTAACATCAGGTGAACCACCTGTTCCGGTTACCGCACTCACGAGACGAAACGCAGAGGTATGATGACTCCGTGGGGCAGTTGCCGAGGTATTGGCTTCGGCGTCGGGGTCGTGGGTTCGGTTCCCACACGGGACAACTATTTGTGCGACCCGCAGATAGTTGTTTCGCATCTGGCTGTTTGTCCACGTGCAATTTATGTTTGTAAAACGTCCTTACAACACAGGATAATGATATCCTAAAGTGAGGGCAATGTTTTAAAAATACAAAAAAAAAGTATAACACTTTCACTCCACCCATTCGTGCAACATCGAAGGCTGTTGCGTGGCCCTACCACAGTTAAATTATACAAGTATACTTCCATACGTCTTCTTGGTGGTGGTACTCCCTCGCTTCAGCCATCCCATTTAAGCAACCAAAGTTGCTGCATGAGTCGACAAAAGTATATACTTACTTTACGATTCGACAAGGCAAAACTCTAAGCTGAAATTAAAAGAACGTCGATAACGAATAAGAAATATTAATAATAATAAATATTTCAGGACACATTTTACACAACGTTTTCTAGTCGCAAACTAAGCAACGCTTGTACTATGGGTACTAGATACCTGATAAACATACTTAAACATACTTTTTTTGTAAATAAATACATATTACACATATACAATCGCCCAGACACTGGAAAAACACTATGCTCATCACACAATATTTTTCCAGTTGTGGGGATCGAACCCGCACCCTCTTGCGCAAGAGGCAGGTGCACTACCCATAATGCCAATCAGTTTGTCTTTTGTTTTGCTATTAGTGTGTCGATGACGAATTTATTGTAGGGCTGAGCAAAAGTTTCTTCTGTTGCACGAATGGGCAGGCTCGGGGTGTTGCCACGGCCGCACAACAGTCTGGCGTGCTGTTGAAGTATACTCTCGCATTTCGTGCGAGTAAGGTAACAAGGGCCCACTTGTTTTAAAAGTTTCCAACGCATTTGCGGTCTTATGTTTAATGTCCACGGCGGTACCCACCTAACATCGGGTGAACCGTAAATCGTTTGATAACTTTTCCCTTAAAAAAAAGAAGTAATAAAATCGTGCCAATTTTTTGCACTGACAAAACAATACCTTTTTTATATTTGACTCTTTCCTTTTTGCAGCTATTGACGAGCCTTAGTCATCAAAAAAAAAGAATAAGAAATAATTATATTATAAATATTATTAATGATGAATTTAAGTTAATGTCCCAAGCAGGGTTGACGTCTGGCAGGCGGCCGGTCATAACAAGTGCGAGTCGGGCTCGCGCACGAAGGGTTCCGTACTATTATTATCTATATAAACGACAAAAAAATGTCTGTTGTATTGGAGCCCCAAATACTTTTTATTCTGTTTTATATTTAGTATTTGTTGTTATAGCGGCAGCAGAAATACATCATCTGTGAAAATTTCAACTGTATAACTATCACGCTTTATGTGATACAGCCTGGTGACAGACGGACATACAGACAGGTAGGCAGACAGCGGATTCTTAATAATAGGGTCCCGTTTTACCCTTTGGGTACGGAGCCGAAACCGCTTGATTCACATGTTAGGCCGACCTCACCTAAGTGGGATAAGGGCAGGAGCATGATTGATATGATGATAAGTTTCGACCATAACGAATATTAGTTGCATAAAACGTGCGTCTAATCGTCTCTCAATGCGAATTCTTCGCTTCGAAGGCGTAGGTGGAAGGCCACAGTCGAGTCTTCGTAAGCAGCTCCGATTACTGGGCCCTGAGATAGAGCAGTCTAAACATCCTGTGGCCCGCCGCTGAACGTCTTAGTCAGCTGCCGATAACGCCACTACACTGCAACGGTCGCATGCTACCCTCTGGGTTCGAACCTTTTCAAGTCGTGTCACAAATTTTTTATTCAATGGGACTTGTTTAAAGTGCTTATTGATCGTCTAAAAACAACCACCGGTTAAATAAGACCTGTACAGAAAGAACCGACAGGAGACTCTCTGTCTTTTTAATGATATAAGATTAATATAAGATATATAAAATTAGGTATAACATCAGCAGTGGCATCAGGGGACTTGCAAGTGCAGAGCAAGTGTCAACCTTCGGATTGTCAACCTTCGTCAACTTCGGATTGCTACTTGCACGTACGAGTAAAGCCATATTTAGGGAAAAATGCTCTTATTTTTAAACGGTTTTATTAAGCTCGACCCGTACGGAATTTATTTGTTTATTTATTTGGGTCAAAATTAGAAATTGAAATTTAAGCACCTTCCCGTTGTCAGATTGATCTGAAATTTGGTACACACATTTAATTTAGATGACAATACACTATTGTAGTTTTCAGTGCACATAAAATAAAACCGTTTAACTTAAAAGTTTTTAAACGGTTTTATCTTACCGTATTCTCACATATAAAAGATCAATTACGGAACATATTTGAATATGTAATATGTAGTTTTCGTTTCATAATCTGTGCTTGACTTCGTTGTTAATTTCGTTAATCCATGCTTGGTTTTATGTTGTATCATTTCTGCAGCGGTTAAAATCTTTGAACTATTTAAAGAATGTATCGACTAACTGCTGAAGCCAAATATTTCTGCAGCTGGGGCAACATCCCATCATTTGACGACCCGATAGGCCTAGTGGATAGTAGGCCCTCTTGCGTCAACTGTGTGGAAACGATCCCGACTACTGGAAAAGTATTTTGTGATGAACATAGTGTTTTATAGAGTCTAGGTGCAAAGGCCTAGAGTGACTTGACTTAATCACGCCTATTTTTACATCATCGAAGGAATAGATGCTCCGTTTGCCTCCATTATTTTGTATCGTTCCTCCATTCGGAGTTTGCATCGCTAATACAGCAAATTAGTGGGAAAATCTTTGCGAGTCGTGTCCGAGCTATGACATTTTTTACTAGAAGATATTTCCTATCATTATTATAGTTAAACATCTTGGGATTTCTTCATACAGACTATTCATTATTAGTTACACCGGCATTTATTCTTTAGGGCTTTTAAAAACTAAAAAAAAAAACAGTCTGTCGGACGGACGTCGGAATGGCGGGAAAGGCAACAGGCGACCGACGAGAGCCGGTGGAGATAAGCGATTATTGGAAATTCGTGGGTCGGTTTAATACGAGATTTCAAAATCGGCCATTAGCGCGCGCGGCAGATGCGGCCGCAGCTGGCCGGCACGCGCCGCGCGGCGCCCACCTTTCGCCGCCATTACGCGACGCCTTTTGTTCCGCGCCAAGATTGATTCCCGTCTTTGAGGATACGCGACATCTGTGCCGGTTGCGCCCTTTGTTGGGCGCTGAGCTTGCTCCCGAACGCTGCTTAGGGTCCACGTGGGGATTTTATCGTTACTATATCTGTTATTTAACTGTATGGAGGTAGGAATTACTACATATAGTAGCTACATATAAGCTATTAACAATTTTTCAGTCTTGCCGTTATAGTTTACAACAAACATAAATTTAATTTATTATCGGGTATGTTTACATCCGATTTTAATTGCTTGTAAATGTATATTGCGAGAACATTATCGAAAGAAAACATAAATTGAAGTGGTGGATCACCAAAAACCTTTATTTAAAAATATCTATGAAACAGGATAATTTCCTTACCGGTTATCCAACCCGCCAATAACAACGCGATGCAACACTAAGCGACCGTAATTTTTAATAATAACATTATAATAACCCCATATCCGTGACAAATGTAATAAAGGCGGGCAATAACGATCAATGATCCCGAAATGTCTAGTAATGTCAAAGTAATTACATATGTCGCTGTAAAAAAGGAGTAGCCCTCATGATCCTTTCATATTTCGACTAAAGAAGGAAACCGCTCCTCTTTAAACGATAGAAATGTGTAGTAGTTATTCGATGTAATAATTAGTAGAATTCTTTGGTCCTCTCGGTCAAGGACGAGGATATAGTACAAAGGACCCAGCAGGAGTCCTGCTAAACAACACTATACCCATACATAGCGCTAACGCACATGACCAATCAGTTCGTCGTCTCCTGCGAGCACGGTGAAACCAACATAACGCGTACACAGGGTACAGCCGCGTACCAGGCCTGTTCTCACCGCCCCCAGCCCCTGAAAAGTCAAAACCTAATAAAAATAATTTACTTACCAGAGTTTTTCCTATGGCAATATTCGCTATATAAGAAGGTAAAAAGCAGACGGCTTACTTTATGCTGCAGGTGTGGTACTTTTATGAGGCTCACTTACCTCGGTTCTTTATTAACTTAACCCAGTCATTACGTGTTGCTTCCACGCGTTACGGCATTGTGATCGTATATTACAAATAGTAACAAATGCGTAACGTAAAAACGTTGTAATTCCGAAACATTCAAGCCTCTTTGCTCTCAAATTTACTCTTAAAGAAAAGACAACGATACCCAGTTCTTATCATGTATCACGGGGTTAATTCGACCCCAATATCACCGTCTTGTATTCTTTTATTATCTGACTGATATCACCAATGTGAATCATCAATGTCAATGTAATGATTATGTTTGCGCTTTCGTTCCGAAAGTTATTGAGTAAATAAAAGTAAAGTAAAGTACCAGCCTATACAAGTCTTACTGCTGAGAAAAGGCCTCCTCTGTACTGAGGATATTAGAGCATAGATCACCACCGGATCAATTAGCTTGTCAGCCAAGCACGAGATAACTCAACACTTAAAAAAAATTCACATCCCTGGGATAATGTCGGGCGGTCGTTCTTGGTTATTCTATATATTTAGAAGGAACCTTAGTTTTCGATTTTGCAGAGCCAAAACCTGCATATTGTCGAAATGATAACAAAAAAAAATTTCGAAGATCACTGAAACCGATCGCAGTGGGGCCCGTGGTGGTGCCCTGATACCTTTTATAATTAGGCATTTGCCCAGCTCGAGACAATAGGCTTCGTCCCTTTTTTTTAAAATAACAATTATCACGTGCTTAGCGGTGAAGGAAAACATCGTAAGGAAACCTGAAAAAAATTTTTCGAAGACATGTGATGTGAAGTCCACCGATCCGCAATGGGGCTGTCAGATTAGGCCTTTGCCCATCAGTGGGACATTTATGTGCCATGGCCGGCGTTGCCTTTTTTTTTTTACTTACACATTACTCCCGACAAATTTCAGTTAAGGTTCTTATGATAGTCCGAGCAAAACTAAGGTAGCGAAATTTTCAATATTTGTTGTTTGAAAACACGTACTTGGCAAAGCTTGATTTAGTTTAACCCAAACGGTTTTGACAGGACTTAGCGTAAGGGGCACAATCACAGGGTCCTAGAAACTGTAGCCTTCCTTACGGGTTTTGAACCGATGAAGATAATTCAATAATACTATACCAGTTAAAGTCTATTTGCTCTTGTCTAAAAGACCTTTGAGAGGCCGCAAAAAGCGCTTATTTTGATAAGACCAACATCTAACAACTACAAGCTATTTGGTTGTAGTTGTCTTACCAACATTTTACCTCCCTCATCTAGCGCAATCCAAACAAATCGAACCATTCAAGCATCCTTCATAAAGTAAGATAGAATTTCAATAGCGCTAAGCTGTTTTTGTTCACGTGTTGATTCTTGTGCCGCACTGTTGACGTCTCCTGACAATTACAGTGGCAACAGGTACACCCCCGAACGCGAATTGCTAATCGACACGTCCACCCGTTATCGTTGTAATTATTGGTAAATAAGAAACTCCCTCCAACAAATCATCATCGTGTAGATCGCAACTGAGGTAAGAGTGGAGTGACCAAATTTGATTGAAGAGAATCATGGACAAGTTACGATTACTGCAGTAGAAAAATGTTTGTCTATAATGTGTTCCATGCAATGTCGCTAGTTTAATGGGATAAAAAACTATATGGCTCTGAAGGCCTCTCCTTCTCTCCCAATATAATTATCTGTATCTATTATATATATATCTATGTAATTTACGTCAACAGTTGGCGTTAAAGGAAATTCGTCTCGAAACTGCATAGGAAATAATGCTGTAGTACGTCTGCCTTATATAAAAATATTGCCTATGAAGAGATGCATATAGTGGGATATTATTATCTAGTGTGGTAGCGGCTCCTAGTCGTGTCCTGGTGTGGCATAAACATACTAACACAGAATCGACACAGCTATTTGAACATTATACTGGTAAATTTCCCGTTCGCAACTTAGCAACTGTATAAATAGTTAACGGTACAATAAATATGGAGTAAAAAATATTGAAGATTATTATTGAAGTCATACTTCTTTTGGCACATTGGAGAAAGCTGATGATATTGATGATGATTGAATTTTTACGATGCGCGGTGCATAGCGAAATGAAATTAACACCGTGATGGTAGTCGATAAATCTCCCTTTAGTAATGTTTCAAATATCAATAACTAGCAAACCGCCCCGGCTTCACGCGGGTGCAATGTATTATATATGTCTATCTAGTAAACTGACTATCTAGTAAAAAAAAAAACGCATCAAGATCCGTTGGGTAGTTTTAAATATCTAAGCATACAAAGGGACAGACGGACAGGGACGATTTTGTTATACTATGTAGTGATTTATCAAAACCTCAAAATATTCAAAACGAAAAAAAAAATATGTCTTCTTAGCCAAAGAAGTACTACCGTAATACCTATGCAGGTGAAGTACACACACTTTTTTTGTAGCTGGACGTCCTTAAAAAGGCTAGAATCCTGGCCAACCCAAAAGCGACAGGTCGGCGCAATCTGCCGCCGCAGCTGCGCCGACAGCTGGCTCCCATCTCACGCACACAGGCGCACGCGTGGGCACACGACAAGCACACATACTACACACGCTCTGCGCCCGCGCATCCTAAATCTAGTCAAAAATCAATCAAAAGTAGTAGGTGGTAGCAGTGGTAGCAGTCTTCTGTTGCACGAATGGGTAGGTCCGTCCTGGGTAGTAACGCGACCTCACAGAAGACCGGCGTGAAGTGGAGGTGTATACTTCTGCGTTTCGCCTCTTGATTGAGTTAACCGGGGCCCACTCTATTAAAAGGTCGCAACGCATCTGCAACCCTTCGGTGTTACAAATGCCCATGAGCAGCGGTTATTACTTTACATCAGGTGAACCATCAGCTCGCTTGCCATCTTCTTACATAAAAAAAATCTTTGATGTCTCACGATAGACCGGCGTGAAGTACTACGACATCTCAAGAGGCCGGCAAACGTAGTATATAATTATGGTCTTTTGTATTTCATTCTTCTTCTCTTTGATTAACGAGGGGTCACCACCGTGTAGCAATGCTCCTGATGTTTCCTGGTATGGGGGGTTCATTCGTTTGCCTCCCTAAAAGATCTAAAGTGTCACAAGGCGCCACAACCGTCGCGGGTCTAACAAGTCCTTAATATTTTTCTTAATGTTTCAGGACATATTTTTACACAACCCTGTCTAAGGTAAGAAATCAAAGTATCCAAGTGTGCGGGAAGACCTGTGCCACTGGCGGGAAGTCGATGGAAGCAGGTGGCTCAGGATTGTGCTTCGTGGCAGTCTGTCCGTCCATTATATTTGTTGTGTACAATATTAGGCAGGATTTCAGATCTCTAACTATGAATAACTAAGTAATTAGGTAAACAAATGTTTTAGCATTACCCTTTAGATTCCTGATGTAAAGAGGTAATGCAGAATATTTTAGACAGTCGTGACACACGGCTGTCACTCTCAGAGTTGAAGTGATTATCCCGCCATCAATGATGATGACTACACACACGAAAATCACCACAACATTTGTATCCGGTGTACGGCGACGGCTCTCAAGCTAAGACTTGAAAATTAAAGGGGAATAAAATACAAGTTAGCTCTCTACCTAATTGGGTCAAGTAAGTCGTAACAGCTTTCAACCGACTTAAAAATAAATTTGACGGTGGTAGGGCCACGCAGCGGCCTCGGCTGTTGCACGAATGGGCAGGCCCGTCCGGGTAAGTACCACCACCTCACAGAAGACCAGCGTAAAGTGTAAGTATGAAAAATACTTTCGCGTTTCGTCTGGTGAGTGAGGTAGCCGGAGCCCAATTTTCAAAAGGTTGTCAACGCGTCTGTAACCCTCGGGTGTGGCAGATGTCCATGGGCGGCGGTATTCACTTAACATCAAGTAAACCGTCTGCTCGTGTGGCAACTTTTCACATTAAAAAAAGGAAGGGGGTTCTCAATTCGACTTTTTTTGTTTGTTACCTCAGAACTTTCTACTGATTGGACCGCTTTTGATGATTCTATTTTTATTTGAAAACTGGTGATTTCCATTTAGCCCCATATTAATTTCATTGGTATTGAATCTATGGCTCCGGAGATACGTAAAGAACTCCTGAAAATCAATTTTAAAATGAATACACAGCGATATATTCGAAGTCGGTTTTCGTTTCTCAATTGAAAATCGATCAATTGAATGTTAAGCAGCAAAATGTTCACTTTACGCGGTCCTCTCGGGTCAGTTTGCGCCGCATCTCGTATCCGCGTTTAATTGTCCCAAACTAACGGGTCCTCGACCCATTTTAAGGCCAGCCGCAAGGTTTGTAGTATTGGAGCGCCTCAAATCCGACTCGTTATACCTTGGAGTATTCACTTTGTATAGGTACAGTAAAAGCAGACGTTATCGCGAGGTGCACAGATAAAACAAACCGCCCAAGTGCGTGTCGGCTCGCGCATGATGTGTTCCGTACCATTACTATACAGAAAACAAAGTCGACCCGCTGTCTGTGTGTCCTATATATATGGTTAGATCTTTGAAAATACGCAACTTGTTATGTTTTTTTTACTAGATAGAGTGATTCAAGAGGAAGTTTTATATGTATAATACATTGCACCCGTGCGAAGCCGGGGCGGGTCGCTAGTTATCTATAAAAACGGCAAAAAATCATGTCTGTTGTATGGGAGATCCACAAAAAAAATTTTATAAAATTTTTTAGTACATATTGTTATGGCATGGCAGCTACAGAAATATATCATCTGTGAAAATTTCAACTGTCTAACTATCACGGTTCATGAGATACAGACTGGTGACAGAAAGACAGACAGACAGAGGTACAGAAGCCTAAAAAGCAACACTTCTTCATTCTTTGTTTTTTTTTATGAAAAGATGACAAGTGCATAGCCCATCTCCAAGACCTGAGGGGTTGCGGATGCGTCGTCAGCCTTTAAAAAAGTAGGCTACGGTTACCTCACTCACCAGACGAAACGCAAAAGTGTTGTAATTTTAAATCACGCCGGTATTCTGTATGGCGTAGTACTTCATGCATAATGTTATCGACCCCTGAGTTATCAATGCTAGGAATGTTAAATGAAAAGAATAAATTTCTCGAAAGCGACGATAATTCGATCACTACATTAACCCTACAACTCATAAAGAACTTTGCCCTTACTTTAGGATAACATTATCCTGTGTTGTAAGGACGTTTTGCAAACATAAATTTCACGTGGACAAAAACCAAATGCGAAACAACTACAACGGATCACACAAACATTTGTTCTGTGTGGGGATCGAACCCACGAGCCCCGATGCCAGAGAAAATACCTTGGCAATTGCGCCACGGAGTCATCATGTGATGATGACGAACTCATCACCGACATTCTTAAGAGCATCGGACTATGAGACTGACAACTCTTTCTAAAGGCTTTAAGTTTTATCGACCTGGAAATACCGTTGGCGGCGACTGGTTTCAAGAAGTGCTGTATTACACTTCCTTGAGGCTGCTTAACTAGCAATCGAATACAAGAGATTTTTGAAGTGAATATCTCTATAGAAGCGGTGTGCGATTTTCGGTATGTGTTAGCGTCATCGACATGCTACTATGACGCGTTTTTTCATTGACGATTGTGATGTATTTCATATTACTCGTGGACGCCGAGTGGTCGAAATCCGACCAAGTTTGAACGATATTAGGTATCACGGTGGTAGGGCCACGCAACAGCCTCGGCTGTCGCACGAATGGGCAGGCCCGTCCGGGTAAGTACCACGACCTCACAGAAGACCAGCGTAAAGTGGAAGTATGACAAATACTTTCGCGTTTCGTCTGGTGAGTGAGGTGGCCGAAGCCCAATTTTCAAAAGGTTGTCAACGCATCTGTAACCCTCGGGTGTAACAAATGTCCATGGGCGGCGGTATTCACTTAACATCAAGTAAACCGTCTGCTTGTTTGGCAACTTTTCACATAAAAAACAAAAAATCTATTCTCAAATACAATACACAATAAACAAATCAGTATATATGTATGCCTGTGGGTGTAATGTTTTCTATATTGATTTAAAGTATTTTTTATGCATAATGAAAAAAAATATTAGCATTCTGCACTCCTCTATATAAACTATAAGTGTGGAAAATTTCATACTCCTCCGTCCGTGCAATTTTCGTAAAAATGGGTATATGGTACATAGATTTCGTTTTATAATATTCTTATTTTGTAACATATTAATTGACCTAATAGTATATTAATTCTAATATTTCTGAAATAAATCATGCAATGAGTATTTCACAAAGCC